GGACCACTTCTCCAATATCGTCCTAGAGCAGAGTTCCCGTTGGAAGGCGAAACCCTACATCAAAAGGCTGAAAACTCTCTAGCTTCAAGCTTTCTGTCACGGAATATGGGGAGAAGATGCAAGAAAAGGGTGCAACAAAATAATGCCATATTTATTGGTTTTATTCCAATATATAATAATGGATGGAACTAAATTATTAAATTACTTGGTGGTGGGAGATTTTCTATTTTTAATAATCTTATTTTTAAGTACGTAGGGGGTTGCGTATGATGTCATGGGTGACGGGCTAACGAAGCTAACAGACAAGCTAGCCTGTAAATATATACAATTTTAGGAGACAATTCCTTTTTCTTTTTTCTTTTTTTTTTAAAAAAAAAAAATAAAAAAAAAAAACTTTTCACCACCTTGCCCACTGAGTTCCGAAATAAATTAGAATGATCTCTCAAGTATTAAAATTGGTAAAATAAAAATAAAACTTTTATTAGAAAAATATTGAAATGTCAAATTTTGTCCAACTTTCAATAGTTGGTTTTATAACTTCACATGAAAAACGAAACTACTAATTGAATTGGTAGATGAAAAGGGGAATTAATTCTTTTTATTTTTTTTTAAGACAAGAGAAACCTATTTCTATTATTCAAAAGTACATATATATTGTGTAAACTTCACTCATATGTAATTAATTAAAATTGATTTCACTTTTGTCTCACGACTTTTGAAGTCTTATATCACTTTTGGTGCGAGCCGCATAACTTTAATTTTTTTTTTTTTAATTTTGGTGCTTAACTTGGAGTTTTTTTTTTTTTTTTTTTTTTTTTTTTTTTTTTTTTTTTAGTTTTGGTCCTTCCGGTCAAATGTGCTGCAAAATGTTGCTAGGTTTTATATTTTTAGGGGTAAAATTGTCATTCCAAAAAAAAGATCTTCAATATCTAAACAAAATCACTGTAAAATCAAATTTATAAGATTGTTTGATTGATGAGAGCAATGGGGAAAACAGGCAGAGACTAAACACATATCTATGAGATTTATAGCGTCGACGATTGACAAATTAAAAACTCTTCTCTTTCTCTTAATATGATTTCACTTTTGTTTAGATATTGAAGATCTTTCCTTGGGATGGCGATTTCATCCCTAAAAGTATAAAATCTAACAACATTTCGCAACTAATTTGGTTAAAATGACCAAAATTGATAAATTAAAAAAAAAAAAAAAAACACACACTAAGTTATGCATCAAAACTGAAAAAATTTAAAATTATGCACCAAAAGTGAAATTAATTCTAATTAATTATTATGAATAGGTGTAGTTTAGATTTTTATGATGCAATGCACAATTTGGGTTAGAATTTAAAACTCTTAAAATTAATACCTTTCAAAAATTATACAAGTCAAATTTCGTAAGTGCATATAACATAAATCTTCAAATAGAGTGAGTTGAACATGCAACTAACACGTACAAGTTGAAGGTGTAGAATATAGCTTTGAAGATAGCATATTGCTCACATAGCATACATCAAATATCGGCATTACTTGCAAAGTAGTAGACTTTTCCAAAAGCACATAGTTTGTGGACAAAAATTAGCTCTTAGTGAGAAAAAAAAAAAAAAAAATCCTTGAACCACTATTAATTATTATTACTTTATCTCATCTTTACTTTATGCACTAAACTGTATTTTCTTCCACATCTTTATATTTTTTTAATTATTTTCATACTTACAAAATATATATGCTAGTGTGCTATAGAATATTTCTCTCAGCTGTACATGAAGCTCTCACAAAGTTTTTATTCACTATTTAGTAAATATTTCAACATAACCATTATAATTGGTATTGTTCAAAAATTAACTATTGTATTCGATCAGATACTTGAGTTTGATTTACTTAATTCTCAAATAAGTTTTGAAAAAACCTTAACAAGTCTACTTGCGCCCTCTATACTTATTAATATTCTTACATTAATTCTTTTGATTATTATTATTATGTAATATGGGTTTGTATGTGTGACCAAGAAAGGGTTCAAGCAGAGCTCAAAGATGATATCTGATATGCATATATAGACTAGTAGCTAATATATGTTTCAAAATTTATGATTATAAATCATGACTTTTATTTTATTTTATTTTATTTTATTTTTTCGGTGACGAGGGAAATCTTGCATTGTGACCCTACTTGGCAAAGAATCACAATGAAATAAACCAGTCTAGCGGCTATAGTCAGGGACGGAGTCAGAAAATTAATTGAGTGGGGGCGAAATTTAAATGGCGATAGAAATATTTATTACAAAATACCAAACCGGCATAATAAGGTTAAAATACAAAATACTTTATAAATTACAATAGAATATTTTTATAGATTACACGATAGTTAGAGTCAGAGCCAAAAATATACTTGTGTGGGGTGAAAATGTGAAAATATTTATGACAAAATATGAAACATAATCCATTAGATAAATTTTTTTGAATAACACTATATTCATAAATACTTTTAATTTTTTTTTATTTTTTTTTAGTTAGATCAACTTTAAGTTTTTCTAAATTAATTTGAATACAATGAAGTAGAGTAATGAATTGAAGTAGATCAACTAGTAAATTAATTCAAATAAATTTATATGAAGTATAATATAAACTTGTGTACTACATTAATTAAATGGTTCATAAAACTGATAAAAGTACACTAACAAAATATTTAATTTATCTTAAAAAGGAATAAAAGAGATAAAAATAAACAAGTATTGTTAATGAGTTTTGAACCCATGACCATATACTTTTTATTAAAATCAAATTTAAAGTTCAACCAACTAAACTACTCAAACAATTAATAAATTAAACATAAATATAAATTTTATGTAACATTTAATGCTATATATATATATATATATATATATATATATATATATATATATATATATATATATATATATATATATATATATATATATACATATATATATAAAGAGGTGGGGACTGCCCCCAGGCTAGCTCCGTCCATGGCTATAGTTGACCGGCTCAAACCAAAAAGGTCAATAAGCAGCTCACACAAGGAGTCGAAATTTAAAATGTGTATTTACCAAACCAATAGCTTGACCAACTTGAGTGAAATTGCCCCTTATATATTGTATACTAGTTGTAAATATGCACCATGTGGTATTGATTAATGTCTAATGAACAACAAAATGTTAGTTCTAATTGATCATGACAACAATTTAATTTACAACATGTTTGGTTCACGGAATCAATTTTAAGAGAATAGAAATGCTATTTCATAAGGAATTGGATAGGCAAATAATAGAATAAGAATTATATTCTAGTAAATAAAAAATCATATTAAAAAAATTAAACGTCATATACATTCCTCATAGAATCAAATAAATAGAAAAAATATAATACGCGAACCAACGCGTTGTTATTGTTATGCATGAATTGTGGATAATCTATAATCTTGTACTCAAACCTATACTATGGATTATTATAGACTTACATATATTAACTTATGTACAATTTAATCCACTAGTGGAAATTATGGAATTTGCGACCACCTGAAAGTGATCTTAAATCAAGTTGATACCAAAAAATGGTCGGAAATAGCAACAAAGGTTTTTCCGGATGCCAAAAGTGATCGGAACAAGACTTTTGACTTGATTTAAGATCACTTTCAGGTGGTCGGAAATTTCATAATTTCCAGTAGTGATCATTCATAAAATTTACGAAAGACATGAAAACGGATTACTAAATCAATAATCTAATTACAAAATACATTTTGAATAATTCAAGATTACAAGACAAAAATAATGGAGCACACATAATTTTGAAGGACTAAATTATGAACTCTTCATAAAACCCATATATAACCCTTATTCTTAATAAGTTTTATTAGTTAGACTACGAGGTGTCTTGAGTTGGCCCTAACTATATATATTTCGCACTTTTAAGCACTTACCATACATAAACCGATCCTCTAAGCATATATATTGATTTTTCATACAAGAGAGGGTCTTGAACTACCGACATTTATGAAGCGATAAGAGTGCACCGCTACTCACACCAATAAATCTAGTTTATTCTAAATAATTTTTAATACACTATATATATATATATATATATATATATATATACACACACATGATTGGAGGGTTTGATTGACTGATTTAAGCTTTAGCTTCTGCTGAATATTTGATGGATATATACATAAAATACAATACAATGTGCTCCAAGAAACAAACAGTTCTTACATCATATACGGCTATTATTTACAACAAATTCAGTTAAGCTTTCTTAATCCTATCTGGATAGGGCTAATTGTACTACACATAGCAGATTAGCAGTGTGTATACATATGGCAATGCAATTTATTACACCAAAGTCGTACACTGTTATATGGAAAATAATGATAGTGTAAAAAATCACATTAAATAATAAGACTTTATTTTAAAAACTTCGATGCAAATAACATTTTCTATGTAGGTATATATCCTTAATTCTCACTTCAATTCATTGAATGATAGGATATAAAGATTCTATAGTAATCAAGGACAAATTAAAGTGGCTAATAATGCTATTAACAAAAACAGTTCATTCAAAGAAATTCAAAGCTAATACCTTCCCTGAAAAGATTATTTAAAAAAAAATTAAAAATTCCTGAATGTTTACCATACTATTCTGAAGATTCAAACTAGCTAGAACCAAATCACAAAGATTCCTCAAATTTCCATTTGAATGACAAAGTGATTAATAAGCCAGATTCAACATAAATGGTGTTTAAGATCAAGAAGGTAGGTATACATGTAGAAAGATTATCACCAAATCTGAATTTGGGTTCTGTAACCTAAAGAAAAAAAGACAACTAACTAAATCCCAAATAGTGAAAACCCCAAAAATGATTTTCAAAATTCTGTTTGGGTTACAACCACACTCTAAAAGAAGAAGATAGTACAATTAAATCCCAAACTATGAAAACTCGAAAAATGATTTTCAAAAATCATTTTTCGAGTTTTCAAATACAAACTCAAGGAAGAAGATAGTACAGTTAAATCCCAAACCTAACTTAGGCATCTCAGAAAAGAAAAGTATTTTGGATTCTGTAAATCTGAACTTACAGTAAAGGAAAAACCCAAGAAAGCATTTCTCAGATATACGCGGTTTCGCCGGCGGTTTGCTTATCCGATCCATCTTCGTCGTTGCTGGAGGCGGCGCCGCCCATGGTTTGATTGGCCCTTTGCCTCTCGTACTCCCGGAACTTATGAAGATACCTGGTCATGGCCTCGGCGTAAACGTCGAACCCTAGAGAGCTGAGAGCCCAGCAGATGTCGTCGCCGTTCACTGTCTTCCGGTTCTCCTTGTGGCACTTGTCGGAGGCTTCCCCGGTGACGAAGCTTATGAACTCCGACGCGCATTCTTGCATTCTTTCCTTAGCTTCTTTCGAGATTTTGGCGGTCGGTGGTAATATCTTCTTCATGATTCTCCCCACGTTGGCTATTGGCAGCAATTTGTCTTGTTGATCATCCATTCTGGGTGTATTTGATGATGAAGACGATGCGGTGATGTTCTCTAAAGCAGACACGTTGCACTGCTCGCTCTTAATTTAGAGCCTCACTTTACATAACTAGGGTCTTAAGTGACTGTCGGAACTGTGTAGTATTTGGTGTTTAGTAAAGTTATTTTTGTATTTGATAAAGTTATATTTTTGGTTTGAATAAGTATAAATAGATTTTGATGATCCAAAAGTGTAAAATAGGATTACTATCTTGACGCCTAAAATTTTTATTTGTAAAGACTTGATAATAGTATTAGAAATAAATGTAATCAGATTTCGATGAATTATAGTGTAATTTATGTCATAATTTATACCCAAAAATGTTAGCCCAGGTTTAGGTTCAAGATATTTCAACAAACATTTTTGGTAGTATATTGATGAAATCTACATCCAAAAGATAGTTGCTAATGAGGCTGAAAAAGGAAAAGGTAGTAAAGGCCATGTTTGGTAAAAAAATTGGTCTATAGCTCAATTTTGGCTTATTTGACCAGGTAATTTATATCTTACACCACGGCGTACATTGCACTATGCGCCCAGATGCAAAACGACGTCGTTTTAATTATTTTTTTTTTTGAAATTTCCCGCCCCAGTGAATGGCAGTAGGCTTTTCTTTAAAAAAAAAACCGCTGTTCAAAAATGTACATAATGTTATACTTGAATACACATAATGTTATACATGAATACACATAATGTTATAACAAAATATACATACTCTTTTTAAAAGATAATACACATAATCTAACATAATACATAATAAACATAAACTTTTAACATAATACACATCAACTCTTAACATAATACACACAAATTTTCTGATTCGGATGTACATAATTGTATAAAAATAATGTACATAATTGTATAAAAAAATACACATAACTGTATGAACGAATACACATAACGTTGTGAACGAATACACATAACGTTGTGAACGAATACACATAATCTCAGCAACTTCCTACCGCGCCTCCCAACACGACCCCAAAACGACGTCGTTTTGGGAGGCGCGCGGCGCACAGTGCTATGTGCGCCGTGGTGTAGGATATAACGATTGATTTGACCACTATTAATTGTTTGATTTAGTTAAAATATCAATGTAAATGTTTGGTTAATTAACTTTTTGTAACTTCAAAAGGCTAAAATTCAAAAAGTTACTCTAAGCAACTTTTTCAATTAGCTTTTTGAGAAAAGAAATTATATCGAACAGCTATCAGCTAACAGCTAATTTACCAAACACTTTTCTACAATCAGCTAATGTTATCAACTATTTATACCCTCTAATTAACACAATCAGCTAACAGCTATCAGCTAACAGCCATTTTACCAAACAGGGCCTTCATTGAATCAAGGATGTTCGGTAGTATAGTTTTGGTTGATTCTTTGGTCATGGTGGTTAATTAGCTGAAGAACTGGAAAGTCAACTAGAGGATCTAATAGGTAAATATGTTGAAGGAATGAAAAGTGCAATAGAAAAGGACTCGGAAATTCATCCAGAAAGTAGATTGGCAAATGCACGGGAAAGTCAAAATGTGGTGGCTTAGGAAAGTGAAAATGTCCAAGTTAAATGTATACCCTTAGATCATTTTAAATGTTAATTTAAACAATTAATTTTTTTTAAATATCTTTTTAGTAACCATTGATATAATTCGCTGGTCAAATCTGTTAACGCTAACTGCTAACTGCTGATTGTCAAATAATGACATTGCGAGGTACTTTCTCACTTTAATTTGTTGTGTGATTTGAATACTTTCTTTGTCAACAAATCCCTCAAGTAGTCAATATGATTGGCTTTATTAATTTAAATTTTTAAAATTTTTTCATGGTATTAATAAAATACTTGGTAAATAAATATATAGCATTATTTTGTATTATAATTTATAACTTTGATATTTAATTTAAAAATAGTGCACAAAAAAAGATAATAGAAATGTAGTGAATATAATCAATTGATGAATTTGAATGTAAAGAATTTTTACATTGGAGAAAAATAAAGAAAATATACTAATGAAATTATTTCTCTTAATTAATTTATTGATAATGAATAATTTTTTTAATAAAGACATTGTGGGGACAATGTAGCGAATATAATCAATTGATGAATTTGAATTTTGAATGTAAAGAATTTTTATATTGGAGAAAAATAAAGACAATATAAGTAATGAAATTATTTCTCTTATTTAATTTATTGATAATGAATAATTTTTTTTTGAATAAAGGCATTGTAGACACATAATTCTAAATTAAAGAAATGCATATACATTATTTTTTGTGGTAGCTACTAAATTATTATTTAATTTAATAAGAGTAAAATAGAGTACTAATTATGCCAACTTTGATTGGAATGTGGTTTGAACCTAAGACCTTTCTTATTGAAATCAATGAGTAAGTTAACAGTGAACTAACCGAAATTAAGGGAAAAGATAATATTTAACAGAAAAGTTAACAGATAATCATATTCATTAAGGATAAAATAGGAAATCTCAAGGGAAAATTAAAATCTGATCAATCTGAACCATTCATTTGATTAAAAAATTTGACCGTCATTTTTTCTACCCATTATAGGCCTAACTCTCTTGGGCTCTTATTAGTATAGTAGATTTTTTCTACCCATTATAGGCCTAACTCTCTTGGGCTCTTATTAGTATAGTAGATATGTGACACTTTGGGCTTAATTATTTATTCGTTATAGCATCCTATGTTTTTAGAGTAGTTATGTTGTGCATCCGTATGCACCATGCATGGTGCATACGGATGCAAAAACGACGTCGTTTTTTAAAAACACGCGTCTCCCCTTAAAAAAAAAAAAATTAGGTTCGATTCCTAGCAACATCATTATGTTGTTCATTCATTCTGGAATTTTAGTTCATAGATTATGGAATTTTAGTTCATTGATTCTGGAATTATAGTTCATCGATTCTGGAATTGTAGTTCATCGATTCTGAAATTTTTAGTTCATAGATGAGATTCTAAAATTTTAGTTCATTGATTATGGAATTATAGTTCATCGATTATGGAATTATAGTTCATCGATTCTGGAATTTTAGTTCATATGTTGTTGTTGGGAATCTAACCTGATTTTTTTTGTGGGGAGACACGCGTTTTTAATAAAACGACGTCGTTTTTGCATCTGTATGCACCATGCAGGTGCATACGGATGCACAGCATAATTCGCCATGTTTTTATGGTTTAAATTCTATTGAACTTATGAGTCTACTTAATTTGGATGCATACTTATTAATTATTCTTGAGATTTAATGTTATATGATTTCTTGTTCGTTTGACTGGGATTTCATTTGAGTAGCTAGCAACTAGGTGCTTACAAACCATCTAGGGAAATATATACAAATTGAATGTTTGCCAGTTCCGGAAATGTTATTTGTGTTGCTAAGAATTCACAGAACTTAATGCAATAGATACTTGAATCCTAGGCATTTGTTATAGGGTTAGGCTGCCTATTTAGGATATTAATGAGGCTTAATTGGCGGTATTTGTCACTTTTAAGTAACTTACGCCAACTATTATAATAAATAAATATCATTTCTGTTGCTAAGCACCTTGTGCTTAGATGACACTCAGGTTGGACTCACATATGGAAAGTTGTAAGTTCGAGCCTCAGTTGAGGCGTTATTGGTTATTTGTGCTTTAGTAGGTTGGGGTTGGATAAATTATTATTAATTTTAAAATCATCCATTTGTTTAGTGAAGCTCTTTACCTAAGAAATAATAGTGGGCTGTGCACATTTGGTGTACGCCTTTGCCTTTGTCAGCGGCACTCAGGCGGGTCTTAGCTTGATCAACAGTTTCGATGGCCAGAGCTCGGATACCTATCATAGCCGCACTAGTTGGCCGGATACCTGCCTTTTGCATGGCGCACAGTCAGGACCAGCACAAGGCAGAGATGGGGTCGCCTTTAAGAATTGTCTTGACAAGCTCCACCATTGACTCGCTGCACTACAGCCTCTTTTGTAGCCGGTAGTAAGACGATCGCCGGGCGGTCGAGAAATCGAAATTTGCGTGGGGCGCGGACTGTTTGACAAAAAAAAAAAAAAAAAAAAAAAAGAAATCCTCCTTCGAAACCCTTGTGGGAGGATTCCAACTTTTCGAGGAACAAGTGACAGTCCCTCTGGGGTATCTATACATAACCAGGGGCAACCACTCCGATTCTTGATAGTTGGAAGAATTGGTGAAAGAAGGGAAGAGTGGCCTCATCTTGTAGGTAATGAAGGAAGGTGAGGAAGCTGACCAGGAGGCGGTAGGAGTTAGAGGCTAGCTGACCATGCACGAGGCCATAGTAGCGAAGAATCAAAGATTTAAGGGGGTGGAGAGGCACTTGGAAGCCGCAGCGGACCGACGGGTAGTGAATGCCTATGAAACCTCCCTCTAAGGGGTTGATGATCAACCGCTGACCAGCTTCCCGGGCATGGTGGTAATTAGAGGAAGAGAGGGTAGGGTGGTGAGTCACCAGCAAGCCTAGGTCCTCAAAGCGGTTTGGCTTCCGGTGGACTAGTAACTGTACAGGAGCAGAAGAGGTAGGTCCCGACATAGTCATCGGTGGGGAAGTGGTGGCCGGTGCCGTAACTGTAACACCCCAGATTTTCGAAACTTTTAAAACTTATATAATAAAGGTAATCTCTTATTAAATCCCAAAACAGAGCATTACTAAACATAAGTGTTTGGGGTGTTATGCCACATCTGAGCTGGAGAACTCAGATGCACAGGCCATACTATCTAAAAATCCTCAAAACAGTGTCATTACATCATCATGGCACGCATGCCGATAAGGAAACTAAATATCTAAGTCTCGAGTCCTCTAGCGCGCTCCGGAGCTACTCATCTGTGCCTGAAAGCCAAATATATCTGTTCAGCGAATAATGCTGGTAACCCACTCCAACGCGTTAAAATACAATATAGGTATATATATATATATATATATATATATATATATATATATATATATATATATATATATATATATATATATATATATATATAGGAAAACCATTTTGAAGCCGGAAGATATATACTTAGGAGACTCTAGCTTTAAAACCGAGAATGGACTCAACAAGTAGGGACAAGCAC